TAGAAAACTGAATCCAACAACATATCAAAAAGGATAATGTATCCTAACCATGTGTGGTTTATCCAAGAAGTACAACCAGTAACCAAACAGCATTAAGTGAAATAAGCCAGAAACAGAAAGACAAATACCGTATGTTGTCACTCCTATGCTGGAGCTAAAAAAGTTGATCTCCTGGAGGTATAGAGTAGAACAGTGGTCACCAGAGGCTGGTGGGAGGGGGACACGCATGGAAGTGGGTGAAGACAGGTTGGTTAATGAGTACGAAAACACAATTAGATGGAAGGAATAAGTTCCAGTGTTCAATAGCACAGGAGAGTGGCTGTAGTTAACAATAATTTACTGTAGATCTAAAAATAACTACAAGAGAAAGTCTGGACTGCATCCCAATTACCTTGATTTGATCATTACTCACTGTATACATGTATCAAACCATTACGTGTACCCCATATACATGTACAAACTACTGTTATCAATAAAAACACATCTATCCAAAAACGTTTTTTAAAAATCAAACAATGAAATTTAACACATTGGCAGAATACAGAAGAAAAACCATACCACCATCACAATAATACAGAAAAACCCTTTTACAAAATTTAACATCCTATCATGATTAAAAGAAAAGGCTCAGCTAACTAGAAATAAAAGGAAACTTCAACTTGTTAATGGGTATCTATGAAAAACCTACTACTGCTAGCAATATACTTAATGGTGAAGGTAGGAGTATGAATGCTTTGTGCCCTAAAATCAGGTTTAAGGCAAGGATATCTGTTCTCACAGTGCTATTTAACATTGTTCTGAGGATCAAAGAAAGTTTAATAAGGCAAGAAAATGCAAACAGATCAGAGGGAGTAAAACTGTCTGTTATTCCCTGACATGATCATCTACACAGAGAAACATGACATATTTACAAAAGACTACTAAAACTAATAAATGAGTTTAGCAAATACAGACGATGTGAGGGTAGCAAGTAAACATTAACTTCATTTCTATATACCAGCAAGAAACAATTAAAAATGAAAAGTTTCAATAGTGATTGATAGTCATTTATTATATGAAAACATAAAGTAATCATAAATAACTATAAATTATCCTTAAAAATAGATTTAACAAAAAATGTTCAAGACCTATACACTAAAAACTATGCAGTATTTTTCAAAGAAATTAAGGACTTAAGTAATGGGAAAGATATGCCATGTTTATGGATCAACAGACAACATTGTAATTAACATGGCATTTCTCCCCAAATTGATCAACAGATTTAACACAATCAAAATTAAAATCCAATAGGTTTACATGTATAAACCAACAAGCTTATTCTATAATGTATGTGGAAAAGCAAAGGAAACAGGGTTGGCAATTTTGAAAAAGAACAACAAAACTGGAAGATTCAACAACCTGATTTTAACACTTACTCTAAAGTGAAGTGCGGTATACTGAAGACAATAGGGTGCAGGTCTTAGGGTGGATAGGTAAAGATTAATGCAATAACATACAGTCCAGAAAATGACTCACATCTACGGGGTTACTTCAAAAAGTTCATGGAATTATTCAGATTACCTTTTATTTCTGTGTTCCACAAATTTTTTGAAGTACCTTCATATATGGCTGATTCATTTTTGACAAAGGTACCAAGGTAATTCAAAAGAAAAAACATAATGTTTTTAACTAATGGGCTGGAACAAAAAAGTAAACCTTGACCTTTATATTGCACTATATATGAAAATTAACTTGGAAGGGATCATAGACCTAAATGTAAGAACTAACACAATTAACACTTCTAGAAGAAAGCATAGGATAAAATCTTAACAAACTTGGGTTAGGAAAGAATGTTTTAAAGTAAACATAAAATCCATAAATTATATATAAAAAGAATGGTAAGTTGTATTTCATCTAATTTAAAAGTTCTCCCTTTAAAAGATACTAGTTAGAAAGCATATCAGTGTTTACCATGGCTGGGAATGAAGCACCAGACCTGACTGTGAAGGGACATGAGAGATTTGTTGGGGTGATAGAAACATTCTGTACAATGATTTTGATGATGGTAAACTATTTCATACAGTTGTCAAATTCACTAAATTGTATACTCAAAACTGATGAATTTTATTGAATGTAATGTATGCATGAAAGCGCTGATTTAAAAATAGATTTATAAAAAAATAAACAGAAGAAAAAAAATCCCCATGACAAAATGAAAAGGCAAACCAGAGAATGGGAGAAAAGACTTACAAAACATATATATGATAAAGCATTTGTACATAAAATATAAGAAGTCTGACGACTAAATATTAAGAAAACAAACAATCACGAAAAATAAAGGATTTTAACAAACACTTCAAAAAAGAAGATATATAATGGAAAATCAGAACAGGAAAAGATGCTTTGTCAGATGTATATTTTGCAAATATTTTCTCCCATTCTGTTGGTTGTTTCTTTTGCTGTGCAGAAGCTTTTTAGTTTGATATAATCCCATTTGTTTATTTTTTCTTTGGTTGCCTGTGCTTTGGGGGTCATATTCATAAAGTCTGTACCCACTCCTACTTCCTGGAGTGTTCCCCTAAGTTTTAAGGAGTTTTATTGTTTCAGGATGTATATTTAATTCTTTAACCCATTTTTAATTGACTTTGATATATGGTGAGAGGTACAGATCTAGTTTCATTCTCCTACATATGAATATCCAGTTTTCCCATCACCATTTGCCAAAGAGGTAGTCTCTTCCCCAGTGTGTAGACTTGATACCTCTGTCAAAGATCAGATGGCTGTAGGTGTATGGGTGGATTTCTGGGTTCTCTATTCTATTCCATTGATCCGTGTGTCTGTCTATATGCCAGTACCATCCTGTTTTGGTTATTATAGCTTTGTAGTATAGTTTAAAGTCTAGCCCAAATGTCTGTCATCAGATGAGTGGATAAGGAAACTCTGGTATATCTACACAATGGAATACTATTCTGCTATAAAAAAGAATGAAATACTACCATTCACAACAACATGGATGGACTTAGAGAAAATTACACTAAGTGAAACAAGTCAGGCAGGGAAAGAGAAATACCACATTTTCTCATTTGTGGGAGCTAAAAATAAACAAACAAATAAACAAAGGGTAGGTGGCAAAGAAGATACAATAATTCCATGAACTTGTTAAGACAACTGAACAGATATGATGTAGTGGAGCAGGGAGGGGAGAGAAGGAGGGGGAGAAGAGGTATGGGTAAAGGGACACGAAAGTCAACTACAATGTATATTGAGAAGTTAAAATAAAAAATAAAATTAAAAAAAAAAAACAAAAAACCCAAATAAAACAAGGACTAAATCACAAAAAAAAAAAAAAAAAAAAAAAAAAGAGAGAGAGAGAACAGGAAAAGATGTTAAATATCATTAGTTTGAGAAATTCAAACTAAAGCTACAAGATACCACCTACACACCCTCCAGAATGGGTAATATTTTAAAAGGCTACCATGCCAAGTGCAGTGATGGTGTTAAATAATATCCTAGGAACGCAAAATAATATAGCCAATTTAGAAAACAGGCAGTTTCTAATGAAGTTGAACATACCAAGTAACACTGAAATTGCATTTCTAGGTATTTACCCAAGATAATTCAAAATATATGTTCACACAAATATTTGTACTAAAATATCCACAAGAGTTTTTTTCTTAATACCCCAAGCTACAAAGAACCATCTAGTGGTAACTGTATAAATATATTATGGTACATCCATACACCGGAGTATTATATTAAGTGAAAGATGCAAAACACAGAAGACTATAATATGTGGTTTTGGATTATAGTTTTGACCCGTTTTTCTTCCTTCGGGTTTCCAATTATTACATATATTGCCTTTTTCTGTTTCGGGTGAGAAGTTTGACTACCCTAAAATTGTCGTACTGTGCCATAACCACATGAAGAGGAATCATGGAAACAGATAAATGCCTGGTCAGCCTCTGAACTTCCAGCCACCTCATCTGAGAGTCTAGATTTGTAAGTAAGCATCTTAGGTGTTGAGGCTAGTCAAGTCCCCTGATGATTACATCAGATGCAGTGAGATACTGCTTTAACGGCTCTTTTTAGGAGAGCAGCCTTGAAACAGAAGATTATATACTAAAAATACTCTCAACTTTATTTTGCCTTGAAGGTTAGATGCTAATGCAAATATTGTAATACATTTTTCTTGGCATGGGAATTTTTTAAAAAGTTTTAGGGGAAAGCAATAAAATTCTGATATAACCTATATGTTAATAATTAAAATACAACACAAAGAGATTAGCTTTTCAGACTCCTGACAATAAAGATATTTATACATCTAGAAACCTAGTAAATTTTTAAAATCATCACTATGAACATGAAATTATACTTTTAATTTTAAAATCACCCAAATCAAACCTCCATAAACCAGTAATGAGAACGAGAATGCTGACTGCTAGCACTTCTGTCTTGTGTGAATTTAGAGATTTTGGTTCACTAAAGACAAAATGCCAGCCAAATAATGAAAAATCTGAATAAGTATAAGAGGATCTCAAGAATAACACGAAACTAAAAGTCATATGAAAAAAATAAAATAAATTTTATCAAAGAAGTTAATATAGAATGTATAATGAATAAGAATAGTAAATAGAAGTGTTAGGCTCATTAGTACCTAATATAAAGAATCTAGAGTAGTGGAAACAATTTATCAGATGAATAACATTTCTACATGACAATCTTCCTTTACCCCCCTAATGAATCTCTAATTTCCATGAAATTTCAGCCTTGTGAGAGATTTACAGGTCCAAATTACAGGCCTGAAAGAAAGAAAGCAGTAAGAAAGATCTGAGAAGACTGCTAAGTGGAGCTTTTCTAAAACAACAATACTTTAGCCAGTTTCCAGTTTACTTTTTTTCCCCAGAGTATTTTTCTACTTCTCATGTAAATTTAGTAATACCTAAGGTATATAAAGAAGGTGGCAGCAGTGTGGTCACATTACTAGAGACATTTCACAATTAGTTCTAAGGGTGCTGACTTACTGTCGACGAAAGTTGCAGAGCTCACTCTCATAACCTTGTTCTACTGGGCTCCAAACCAACCCTCGCATGCTCTGTACTATAGCTGAGGTGCATACCTTGCACCTACCAAAAAAAGGGGAGAATCCAGGGTACTACTCACTTAGGAAATACTAGGTGTCAAACCCAGTGGACATTTCTCAGCTGTTACCTCACAGGATTCAGTATACTCTGAGTATTTAATCTACTCTCCAGAACTTCTGCAGGCTTCTCCGTCTGGCTCCTCCTGCCCAGGATCTTCTGCAGGCTTCTCTCTTCACCTGCGCATCTGATTGAGCTCTCTCCAGGCACCATTCTCAGCCACTGATGTTCTAACTCTACAGTTTTCTCACACTGGACATTTCTTCACTTCTTGGCTTTAGTACTGCTGATAAGGCTATTTGTATCTCTAGCCTAACTATCCCAACTCCTTCATATCCCCAACTAGGTACCTCAAATGTAGAATGATACTTCCAGAACACATTCATCTTCCTGTGTTTCCTATTTTTACGAGTAGCTCAGTATCCACAATATGCCAAGCAGCAAATAGGAAAATGTCCAGTATTTCTCTATAAATTCAGTCATTAAATCCTGGCAATCATAGCACCTAAATATCACTAGAATTTGATTCCCTTTCAATAACACTGCCTCAATTAATGACCTTATCATCATTTTTATGAATGGATTCCTGGAAACCTCCTAAGTGCCACAGCCCCCAAGTATTTTCCTTGCTTCCACTTTTGTCCTCTCCAGTTCAAGCTTCCTACAGCTACAAAGTATTCTTTCTAAATATTCCCCACAGAAATTCTTCCATGATGCTCCCCTGCCTTCAGGACAAAATCTACATGACTTTGGAGAGAAGACCTGTTCTAGTGTGACCCTGTGTACCTGTTTGTACTCTCCTGGCTTTCCTCTGCAGGACTGCAGGCATCACCCATACTGTGCTGTATTGGAGGCAGGGGCAGGCACATGCTCCTGCACCTTGTCCACGTTCTACTTCATCCCGATATAAACGCCCTCCTTCCCGTCCTTACTGACATAGCTCATAGTTGTCCTTAAGTCTGAGCTTAGCAACCACTCTAAGATGTGATTCCTACATGGTATTTTTCCCTTCCTTTTACATTCCTTCTAGATTGATTCAAGTGTTCATTATCTGGAATCTCATAGCAACAAGAATTATCATAGCAATAATGACACTATAAAGTACACATGCGTTCTCTTATCTGTCTCCCCAATTAGACACTCATCTTCTTAAAGGAAAGTACCATGTTTTCCTTATTTCTGAATCCTCTGAGGTCCAGCACATAGAAGTTGCTCATTAAATATTTAATAAGTGAATGGCCTAATAGAGTAGGTTCTAAAGTTAAAACATAAATTATCAAATATAATCAAAATCCCCCTTGAAAATTCCTTGGGAAGGTATTACACTGGGGAATGACATACTACCATCTCTGAATGTAGTTAAGGCCAGCACAGTTTTCTATCACTGGAACAAGAACATAGTTTCTTTAAATAAACATCTGTAGTTACAATGAACTTAATGACAATGTTTAATGAAAACTATTTTTAAGCACCAGAGTTTATATCCTGTAAAGCTCTATGGATGGTAAATAGAAGTGACGTGGAGTAAAAGAACAGTAAATTTATGTCTCTCATCTAGAGGTCACTCTGTGAATATGCTCATTGAGAAGAATGGCAGAATCACCATATTATTTAAATCTATCTATCTAAACTATAATTTTGCTGAGCCCCTTCCATCAAATTTATGTTTTAAATTGTGATGTGATTCTGTTGTACTGATATTCCCGTAAGAAGCAGTGTTGATTTTTCACAGCCAGTATTTTTCTCAAAATCCACTTCCACTGAGATTTTTTTTTAGTGCTTTAAGATACAGGCGGGTCAAGGGACTGCAGAGGTGGTGAGGGTGTGGTTGGCATACACTGTTCCTCTGTCCTGGGGGTGCTCCCAACCGTCTCTTCCTGCAGCGCAGCCCATAGGTCAGAACTGGGTGACCCCGTCCCCCGCCCCAGACTGCCAGCTTCTACACTGTATTCTGTACCGGCCATCTAATTTTCTGAGACATACCAGTCATCCTTCTCCATGCTCGATTATAGCCTCCCACAGAGGCTTCACAGGATCTTTTCTCTCTGAATTATTTCCAGACTTGGTTCATTCCCCAGTGAGGCACTGATCAGGGTTGGGACCCACCTATGGGCAGGGACTGCCTTATTCCTCTATGTAACTAACACCAGCCTCCAGTAAGACGACAAATGTAAAAGGATAAATGACTGCTTTTTCTTAATGCTGTCGCCAACTCACTTTACCATGGTTCAAAATATGACTTAAATAAAAGACCCGAAACTATAAAACTCCTAAAAGAAAACATAGGGAAAACACTTCAGGAAGCAGGACTGGGCAAAGTCTTCATGAATATGAGCCCCAAAGCACAGGCAAAAAAAAAAGGAAAAATGAACAAATGGGATTATATCAAACTACAAAGCTTCTGCACAGCAAAAGAAACAACAGAGCGAGAAGACAACGTACAGAGCGGGAGAAAATATGTGCAAACGATGCATCCAACAAAGGATTAATATCGAGAATATACAAGGAACTCAAACAACAGTAAAAAATAACCCAATTAAAAAATGGGCAAAGGAGTTGAATTGGCTTCCTCAAAGGAAGCCAAACAAATGGGCCAACAGGTACATGAAAAAATGCTCAACGTCACTCAGCCGCAGGGAAACGCAAATCCAAACCACACTGAGATGTCATCTCATCCCAGTAATACCGGCCATTATCAGAAAGATGGAGAACAACAAATGCTGGTGAGGACGTGGAAAAAGGGGAATCTCCTACGCTGTTGGTTTGAATGTAAATTTGTGCAGCCATTATGGAAAACAGTATGGAGGTTTCTCAAACAACTATACATAGAACCGCCATTGGATCCGGCAACCCCACTGCTGGGTGTATATCCAAAGGAATGGAAATCATCATGTCGGAGGAACACCTGCACCCCCTTGTTCATCGCAGCTCTATTTACAATAGCCAAGAGCTGGAACAACTCTAAATGTCCATCCATGGACAACAGGATAAGGAAAACATGGTGCACTTTCACAACAGCTTACTACTCTGCCATGAAAACGAATGAAATACTGCCATTCTTAGCAACATGGGTGAACTTAGAGAAAGTCGTGTTAGGTGAAATAAGCCAGGCACAGAAGGAGAAATACAGCATATCCTCACTTATAAGTGGGAGCCAAAAAATAAACAAATAAATAAAAAGAATGAAAGATGTGACAATCACAACAATATGTTGAACTTTCCAAAGGGGAGAAAAGAACTGAGGTTACCAGCGGTGGGAAAGGGGAAGGAGAGGCAGGGTAAGGGAGGAATTGGCAACAGGCCACCAAAAAAAAAAAAAAAAAAAAAAAAAAAAGATAATACATGTGTGGTATAAAATAAAGCTGCAGAAGAATACAGAAGTGAAACATAATAAGCCTTCCTCCTACCCTATGCCCAGACACCCAAAGCAACTGTGTTAAAAGAAAAGAAACAAGTATGAAAGCCGTGTGGCACCAAAAAAATAACCTCGCTTAATCAAAGCAGTATGTTTTATACAGGAACAGAATAGTGGAAAAGAACAGTACATGCAAAAAACTGACCTGAATATATGTGGACCTATCTGAAAGGGTATCGAATCAACTTAATGTGAAATAGACGGTGCTAGCAAAAAACTGTCTACTCTTCTGGGAGAAAAGTAAGGCCCCCTTATACTACACACAAAAATGGAATTTAGTAAACAATGAAGGAACACTGAAGAGAACATTAAGTTTAAAACAAAAAGATCTTTTTTGGTGCATTAAGTAATATAGGCAAACACAGAGATAATAACAAACATGTCCAAAATCATACAAAATTCCTGTCTCAACTGTTGCATTTCAAGATAAATATTGCAGAGCATACGAATAGTCACCATAACTACATAATATAATAAAATACAATGATAAACAATATAATGATAAACTGAGCATAAAATTTCCTCCCCAGCAATGATAAATCAAGAATTAAAATAATAATCCTATAATATTCCAAGTACTAAGTAACTTTTTAAAAGTACACTGGATATTCTAATAGAATAAAAATTTAGGAGGTTACATGTAGAAAAATTCTAATTTTACTAAAATTGCTAAATATAAATAATTTATTTTTCATTTTCTTGCCCTCTGTAAAGGGTAGAGAATACATGACATATGGCAATGCTACACAGCATATACCATATATATATGGCAATTTTGCACTTATTACCTATACACTTTAAAATTATATATCACATACAGAATCAGTTCACTGCTTTCAAAACATTAAAAAATTTAGTACATTTCTATAGCCCAATCCCACAACAGAAATTCTGGGAGGAAAAAAAAAAAAAAGAAAGAATGCTAAAGAAAACCATCTGGCTAGTCTGCAAATGTGCTTCTGGGTATAAAATTTTTCAACAGTCATCAATTAATTAACCTCCTGAGTACTCTCGGTGCTCCCTCCAGGAGGCCTGCCTTCATCTCAACACGCAGACGTCTCTCCTTGCTCTCCTGTGAAGCCCCATGGCCCTTCAACTGTATTTCTGACACAAGCGGTAATTATCACTTTACACTTCATTTGGGTTTTGTACCTTATTTTCCCAACTAGACTACAAACTCTTTGAGAGTAAGATCTATGTTTAGTTCAGGTTCGTATGCCCCGCACTATCTACCAGAGTGCCTTGCACAGAAAACAGAAGTGTTTTATAAATACTCAAAGATACTCTTCCTCAACTTATATTCAGCTTTTTTCCATAGTAAAGTATGTAGAACACCGTTTTCTATTTTTCTTCACACTACTCAGTAGTTCCTATCTTACCACTTTTGCTAACTTCTCTTATCCCTGCTCCCTGAGAGAATTTGTTCATCTATTTATTCATTCACTAAAATAATCCAATAAATATATGTCAAGTACCTACTATATGCCAGGTAGTCTGTAAGGTGCTAGAGTTATATCACTGAACAAGTCTCTTAAGAAGCAAAGAGTCTAGTGGGAAAGATAGACAAGTAAATAGGTAATTATAAAACATTTGGACAGATGTGAACACATGATACTGTGTACGAAAAACAAGAGAGACATGTAAGAGTGCTTCTCTAGGTTTTTTGTCTGCAATTTATCATTTTCTCTATGTTACCATCTCCCTGGCCATCCATCTGTCTACTTTCAATTATTAAATAGATAATACATGTGTGGTATAAAATAAAGCTGCAGAAGAATACAGAAGTGAAACATAATAAGCCTTCCTCCTACCCTATGCCCAGACACCCAGTTTATCTCCTCAAAGGCAAGCACTAATATCCAGTGCACAAGTCCAGAGATGTTCAACACATATGCAAACATACATTCATACACAGGTGGTCTTACTCTAACACGGTGGTAGCATGCTTCACACTCTGACTGCACCTTGCCCTTTTCACTTCTGTATCAGCCCTTATCAGGCTGCCTTGTTCTTTTTAGTGAATATGGAGACTCCACTGCACGGATGTGACACTATTTATTGAAGCAGTCTTCTTACCAAATGCTCATTTAAGGTACTACAATGCTGCAATATATTTATCCATATATCACTCTGTGGTATATCTGTAGGATAAGTTCTTACAAGTGAGATCGCTGAGTCCAAGAATATGTTCTAATTTTGTTCAAAATGACAGAGTTTTCATCAATTTCACTTCCACCTCCACGGCTTAAATTATAACATTTACAGGAACCATTCCCAAATCTGTATCCACAGTTCTGACCCCTTATTTATTGTCCATGATAATTCCTTGGAACCTTAGGAAAAACCATCTTACCCTCAACATGATCCACAGAATTTCACTATATCTGTTAATTCTCCCTGTTCCCAACCAAAACATCTTCCCTCTTTGTTTCTACCTACATCCAGTTAACTGGTCATTAAGATGTACCACCCCCCAGTTCCACAGCTCCACCTTCTTCATGTTTTCTCAGACATCTGACGGCAGGGTCCCAGTTCTGCATGACTGGGTGATTGTTATGTAAGTACTCAAGTTCTTCCTGCCCTAAGCTCACCCACCAGCAATTCTATTCACACCATCCTCTCTGCCTGAAATATCTTCTTAAATCAGTTACCCAGTTAAGAGCTCATTAAGCCTACCCTAAATGGTAGATCATCCATAAAGCATTTTCTTTTATGAATTTATTAGCACTTAGGTCTTTTGCTACGCATTCCAATTTATGATGCACTTATAAGAGAAATTATATACTCCTCCATAGCAAAGATAATGTCTTATCACATTTTGATAAACCCACACTGTCTGGCACTCAAAATGCGTTAACCAAATGAATAAATGAGATTTTGCAATAAACTAATTCCTCCAAATCAGATAATTTTATACAAGAAAATATTCTATAGAGGATATTTAATTAATCAATTATTTTTTTAAAGTTTTTTTGTCTTTTCATTATTTTATATTGGTCTACCAACATGAGTCATCACCCAGGCTCACTGTTCCTGTGTGTGGTGGCTTTGTAGACATTTACATACACATCAGTGTCCAAGAGTCGCGATCAAATTTGTCCTTCTTATTCCCCTCCGTGCTCTGCCTTATTTTCTCAGAAACTGAAGGTATTTCTTATTATTATATGTTTGCTTGTTTGGGTCTGTGCAGAGGTTCCTTGGCAGGAGAACGCATATATGTTATTTATTTATTTATTTATTTTTGAAAATAAGAATATTTTAAAGTCTGTGAGATGTTTTTTTGAAAATAAGAATATTTTAAAGTCTGTGAGATGTAAGCACCTACTAAACAATTAAATTTATTTCACAAAGCCCATAATGTGAAATATTTCAGTTAACGACTTAGGTAAAGCACATTTCTCCCTCACATTAAGTTTGATCAAAAACAGGGAGGAGAAAGTTTAGGAATAAAAGAATAAGTGAAATATACCACTAAAATGATTGAACTTCTCTTCGAAACTACAAGATTCCTTAAGTCTCTTAATTATTTCACGGTTGCTTTAACTAATACGTAGGATTAGCGAAAGCTCAGCCACAACATGCCTA